AGAAGCAACAGAAAAACAATACTTAGAACTGTGTTGGCGAACCTATGGCAGAGGTGGCATGCAGCGCCCTCTCTACGGGCACGCGAGCCATTGCCCCAGTTTAGGTCTGCGGCGCGTGTGTGCCCCCCCCCCCGTGTAGCAGAGACCTGAAGGCCAGGTGGCTGACGAGAGGTGCAGACACATGCGCAGCAGACCTAAACTGGGGCAATGGCTCGCGTGCCCGTAGAGAGGGCGCTGCATGCCACCTCTGCCATAGGTTCGCCAACACAGTTCTAAGTATTGTTTTTCTGTTGCTTCTTTGTGGACACCTTCATGTTGTAGAAATTCCTTGGAAAGATATGTATCTTGCTCAGATGCAGAGATTTGTGAGGATAGAAATACTGCTGTTTGGGAGGGTGAGGGAATAATACTAGCAATCTCGAAATGTTGATTCTCGTTTTCACATCTATGGAATTCTGTTCCCTTTTAGCAAAAAAGAAAACTGCGCATTTTTATCTCCAACACCTTTAATCCAGCCAAGTCAGATGCAGAAGATGGAGAAGGCACCGTAGCCTCATGGGAACTCCGAGTGGAAGGACGACTATTGGAAGATGTGAGTGAGGAATGGAATTAACATCACCACATATTCTTGTAGAGAATTTAGAAATGAGGCAGAGGTGAATTATTCATTCCTGATGGTCTTGGAACGAGATAAGATGGAGAGAGAACAGTACATGTTTTTGTTTGACAAGTGTAAGAGCATGGCCAAAGAAACATTTTTGCACAAATTGTCACAAAATATTCTGAAATGAGCAATTCCACAAATTAGATCTCTCTGCAGTAAAGTTGGTTTTTTGCTTTATACACTTAAGTATTGCATTCTTGTGCTGATTGGAGTTTCATTGTAGTGGAGAAATTAGATGTAAGAGCTTTCCCGAGTACTACTCTTAAACACCGTTGGCTAGGGTAGTTTTGGATGGCCTGATCCTTCTTCATTTCAGAAAAGTCCCACATTATTCTGAAGTTTGCAGGTAGTCAGAGTCCAATTGCTAAAAAAAAGTGAAGGACATATAATTTTTTGAAATAAAGAAAAATGTATTTTATTTGGCCCTTCATTATTGTAGAAAGGGTAAGTGGCAGGGGAAATTGGGCATATAAGATTAGAAGTATATGCAAAATGATGATCGGTATTAAGATATGTTATATATTCCCCTGGAGAAAAATCACTGTGATAGTTCACAGTTTTATTTTCTGAGGTTTCAGTGCTGTTGGTAACTATGTCTATTCGGTATTGATATTGTTATCTATAAAATGATTTTTCTTCCCTTTTTTCCTCCTGCAGTCTGCTCTCTCTAAGTATGATGCTACCAAGCAGAAGAGAAAGTTCTCATCCTTTTTTAAATCTCTGGTGATTGAGCTGGATAAAGACCTCTATGGCCCAGATAATCACTTGGTGGAGGTGAGAGGTTTCATACATTATAGCAGAGTTGTGCAGCATTTCTTGGCCCCAGATATTCTGACAAGAAAAATGTGGGGAAGACGTGACAAACACTATTTTTTAACGCTTACATTTAAAATTAAATTGTGAATAAGTTTGCCAGTTATATATTTAATACATTTAGCAACATTTAAACTTAATGTTTGGTAGCATCTTTGGAGGAGGTCTCAAAATTTAGAGAGCTGCATGCTGGATTTGGCCTCAAGATGTTCATTTCTCATACAAAGCAAAGAAGATCCCAATTTTATGTTTACGCAGATCTTCCAATTTTCCTCTCTATCTTGTTCTCCCTTTGAAAGAGGCCCAAAGCAATATATTGGGATATCAGCTTTCCTCTTTCCTGAGTACTTTTCATCATAGGATTCCATGTTTACCTGTTCCAAAGTTTTATTTCATGAATCAGAATCTATCCCCTGTGCAGTGTTGGTTCTCACATTCTTTTGTTGCCTCATAGAATCTCTTCTGCTTTTCTTACTTCCCCTTCTTTTGTATGCTTTCCCTCCTAGTGGCATAGGACTGCTACAACCCAAGAGACTGATGGGTTCCAGGTGAAAAGGCCTGGCGATGTGAATGTGCGCTGCACTGTTCTCCTGATGTTGGACTACCAGGTAGGGGGCATTCCTCCCGGGGCCAAAGGGGAGGATTCAGATTGTACCTCAAATCAAAATCTTTATTAAAGCCATAGGTCAGCATGAGGAAGGTAGGATTATAAACAATGTTTTTTTTAAAAAAATAAAAGACTTAAAATTACACATTTTTTAAAAAATGTATTAAAAACATATTTAAAAAATGTGTATGTATATACTGTGTTTCCCCTAAAATAAGACCAAGTCGTGTGTGCCCCCCCCTCCCCGGCCGCCGCCTTTACCTGCCTGCTGCTGCTTGAGAAAAGGACAGGGAAATTGTGGAGGATTGTGGGAAGTGCATGCTTACGATAGAAGCAAAGCCCAGCCTCTCCCTTTCAATCGATTAAATGTCTGTGAGAGAGAGAAAGAGAAATGATGGAGGGGAGTAACAAGAATTGCAGGCAACGCTGTTTCCTTTCCACCATTTCTCTTTCTTTCTCTCTCTCTCTCACACACACACACGTACACGCGTTCACAAGACAGACATTTGTTGAGAAACGGTGGAGGGCAACTGGGTAAGGGGACTGACCTCCCCTGCCTCCAGCTTGCTGCCTGCTCAGAATGGCACCCCGAGGCCCAGCCTCTGTGGGTGACCCCTGCACGGCCACATGAGAAATGGACTGCCTCCTTGGCATTTCATCTTCCTGACTTTTGCGAACTTTTGGCTGCACGCAAGGGAAGCAGCACAAGTCTTCGAGTCTTTGTGAGATTCGTCGTGCCACCACAGCCTTTTGGAGCAGGAGCCTGCCAGGTTTGTGGCGTTGCATGTGTGAACAGCAGCACCGCCACATGCTTCATCACACCAGCACAGCTGGCATCCTGCCACTTGCGGTTGCGCCAGTATGTCTGTGCTGAACTTGAGGAAAGGCTGACAGGCAGGAAAATCCCCCTCCCCATTTTCCTGCCATTCATCAAAAAGGCTCCATTCCAAGCGTTGCAGTCCTGGGATGTGCATCCTTTTCTCAAGCGACATTTGATCGCTTGAAAGGGACAGGCTGCGCCTGGAAAGAAGGAAGGAGAGGCAGCTCCTGGCCCTTGCTGGCTCAGCTGATCCGCGGGCCCCAATTAAGGAGCCGAGCACCCATCAGGTAACTGGGGAAGGGAAGGGCTGCCTCCTGTGCTGGCCATGCCCACCCTCTAAACTGGGGCTAATTTTTGTTGTAGGGGGCAAATTAGGCTTGGGCTTATTTTCGGGGTGGGTTGTATTTTTGGCGAAACAAGGTAAAAAGACTAAAAAATAACGTACAGTGAGGGGTAAAAACATTAGATAAATACAAGAAAACAAAATTGAATATATGACTAACAATCTATTACAGTACAAAAACATTCTTAACGCACATATTTAAGTATTAAGGCTAGTTAACCTTTTTTTACCCCAAAGAAAATATTCAGATGTTTACTCTTGCTCTTTTTTTGAGTTTTGCTGTCTCTTTGCAGCCTCCACAGTTCAAACTAGACCCACGTTTGGCTCGCCTCTTGGGAATCCACACCCAGACCCGCCCAGTGATCATCCAAGCTCTGTGGCAATACATCAAGACTCACAAGCTGCAGGACCCCCATGAGCGGGAATATGTCATCTGTGATAAGTACCTCCAGCAGGTAAAAGGAAGGGTAAGGGACCCCAGTCCTTGCTGTCCTGCTGAAGCTTGGCTCTTTCTCAGTGGATTCTTCTTGAACATAACAGATATTCGAGTCTCAGCGAATGAAGTTCTCCGAGATCCCACAGCGGCTTCATGCATTGCTTATGCCTCCAGAGCCCATTATCATTAACCATGTCATCAGGTAAGATGGATTGGGGGGGAGGCACTTGATGTGACTATTTAAGGCTGAACCACAAACTCATGAAATATCTTTTCAGCTCTGCTGAATATTGCAGTGCGCAAACACAGCTGTACTAGTGCATGCTTCCTATTTTTAGTATTACCTCCCGCTGTGAGTTATATCGCAGGCTAGAATTTTAAAAGTGTGATTCACTTTAGTGTTCCCAAAATAGTTATGTAACAAACTATTCAAATTCTGTTGTCAGAAATGGAAATATTCTGGATCACTTTTAACAAAGGAAGTAATTATCTGGCCAGACATTTGGCCATGGATAAGAGAGAGATTTTGAAAGCAGCAAAGAACTATCAAAAATCGAAACCTCTACATTAAGAAAAGTTACCCTATTGCCTCAAATGACCTTTGTTGGTTTTTTGGGGGGGGAGGGGCGGTGCTTTATTGAACCAACCTTTGAATCTAGCATTTTCTCTCTTGTCTTGTTTCCCAGTGTTGATCCAAATGATCAGAAGAAAACTGCTTGCTATGACATTGATGTAGAAGTAGATGATACTTTGAAAACCCAAATGAATTCTTTCCTGCTTTCTACTGCCAGCCAACAGGAGATAGCTGCACTGGATAACAAGGTGCGAGTTCCTGTAAATGATTTTTTTTTTTTTTTTTTTGCTAATCTTTCTCTGTGAGGGACGTCTGAGAAGTAACACTTCTTCTCCCCTATCCAGGCTTCACTGTGTGGTTAGATGTTACTTCAGTTCCTTAAATCAGTACAATCCATTAAAGTAGCAAATAGTACCAAGGTTTGGCTAAAATGTTCAGTAATTTTCCAAAAGAATCAAGAATAGGCCTTTGTGAATTCTGGTTTGGTTGTAGCTTTCCCCTTCCTATAATATGAAATTTGGCCCTATATAGGCCTCCTCAGAGCACATCTGTTGCCTTTGGTGGATTTTGCAGAGATTGGCATCTTTTTTTCATACAGCAGAAGGAACATAGAATTTTTTTGTTACATTCTCAGTGTAGACTGTGAATGTTGAGTCACTAACTTTTAGATATGTATATTGTAAATGTTAATATTAAAAGCTGTTGGATGTATGGCTGTTAGAATAATGCTGCCAGGAAGATGTCTTGTTTTTTTCACAGTTTTGTAACTGACCCACAGATTAACCCGGCTTTCTCTGGTTCCTGGCCAACAGTGATCATCTTGTTGCCTCTGGGAAGATTGCCCAGTGATAGGCATTGAAAGATGAAATGAAGCAGATTCCTAGCTGTAGGATTCTGACTCTAGGCAACAGTTGAAACATCCACTCTTTTATCCAGAACAGAAAGAGCTTATAAGGAAGGGAGAGTGTGATGTATTTGTTTGGCTCTGTAGTATTCTAGTCATAAAGCCCTTTTTTCTTAACCTGAATATCCCCTGGGTTTGAAATTCTGTTGCATAAACTGTGAACAAGTCTCACTGTTAATATAGGACAGTTGCCTTGTATAGATGCATAAAATCATAGCTCTCATGTCATTCCACTTCTGGGTAATAGTTTTAAGTATTCAGTGTTCTTTGGTTATGACACTGAAATCATATATTCCTGATAATGTGTATTCCTTTACTGAGCAAGAAAAAAATTGCCACGAGATGGTATTAAAGTTATTTCACTCTTGAAGCTATAAAACTAAATAACAGTATCGTCTAGTGGTTGCATTGATACAAGGAAGGAAAGAAGGTTGGGACTAAAGAGGCTGGTTGACTCTGGGTCAGGAGTTACAGTCCAACCATAGACATTTGTATCTCTGAAGTAGCAATAGCACTTGGGTTTATATACCATTTCACAGCGTTTTACAGCTCTCTCTAAGTGGTTTAAAGAGTCAGCCTATTGCCCCCAACCATCAAGGTCCTCATTTTACCCACCTTGGAAGGATGGAATGCACTGGATATCTCATAGATCTAGATCTTCTGCTCCCCATTGTGGTTTTGGTTGGTTGAAGCTTTTTAGTAAAGCTAAAGGTGCAGATTAATTTACCAGCTTCAGGCAAATACTAAGGACAATACTGGCTTACTTTGCCTAATATTTTGAAGAATAGTAAAAGCTCTTCAGATATTCACTATTGGCCACATGGAGAAAGGAGAGTAGGAAATCATGGTTTAGTGGTAGTCACATTATTCAGTGCTAGGAGGTTTAACCGTTACACAAGGTTGTATTCTACCTTTTTCCTGTTTCTTCTTCTTGTCAGTGTAGAACTGGATCTTCACAATAATCCCTTGATGCTATCTGCAAGTGGTGACTCTGATGTATCCCCTGCTCAAAAAGGTCCAGTTCCTGAAAACCTCAGAAAATTAAGTTTTCAATCCTGAGGTGAATCAAGCATGGCTGAAAGTGTGTTCATGTGTGATTGCTTGCCATGACAATTCACAGAGAGGGAAGCAACAGGAGCAGTCGCAATGTATGGGCTCCTTACTGACCTCAGAGACTCTGGTAAATTCCCCAATTGTCCATGGCAGGGGAAAGCTCTTTCTGAGACAGATCTTGGCACCCTGGAAGCAGCATTTCGAAAGTGAGACGAATGCAGAAGAATGGTGCTGTGGCATTGTGATGGATTAGGGAAAATTTAGGGAAAATTTAGAGAACAGCACAATTTTTCTTTCAGCCTAGAGTCATAGTACCAAACTGCTACAAGTGAATTAAGTACCAGTTACTCTATATAGATAAGTACAGGGGTGGGATTCTACCAGTTCGGACCGGTTCGGGTGAACCTTTAGCTGCGAAGATCAGCTGGGAGCGAAACAGTTTGCTCCCATGAGCAAGTGGGCCCGCTTGCCCCTGAGCTTTACCTATCTCCTC